GAATTCGTGTACGTGCATCTAATCGTTGTAATCCTTGCAGACAACTTTATACTTATCAAATTTATTTTTTATATTTAGATTTGTGTTGTGCGTTGTTGTGTTTTGTCATCGCCATGTTTGAGGTTGGCAGAACTGAAACAGCAAAGTAACCCAGAACCTACATTTATGATGCCTGACGGTTAGAAATGATTATTCATATTGATATTTAACTACTTTCGCTGCTGGCGTAAAGCTCATATTATTCGTCGCAAGCAGGCCTGCTTCGGCGAGGTGCTGCAGCCAGTTCGCGGTTCCCAAAAAAGAAATGTTTTGAATAAGTTTCCATTCACTTCTTTGGCTGTTTGATCATGACAAGTTAGGCGTTGATCTCTGAGTTCATCTCACAGTTTTCTCAGACCAGTGATAGTCAGCATCTGCTCTTTCGTGATCAGGTGATGCCATCGCACTTTGAGCATACTTCTTTGTTGGCAGCTGTCCATGCGAGTTTCATGACGCTTCGCGGCAGATGTTTCAAGACTGTTCATGAATCAGAGTAATGATCTTCGTATCCTTCGATATTGATGGATTCTTTTACGTGTATTACAAATCGTCAGAATTCGCTGATGCCAGTTTTTAGTTACGGAGAAACGTATCTTTGAACTTTACATTATGTAAGTCTCTAAATTTCGAAAATGCATTTGTGGAAGATGTGCATAGTTTCAAGGGAGTTTTACCAGTTCGCCAAATAGAGTGATCAGGTCTTCTAAAACTCTCGTCTCATTTACATCTGTGTTCTTGGTACTAGCAACAGAAAATGCTGGCCGATATAAGGTGGAGTAATTGACTTTTAAAATTCGTTCGTACGTTTCAGCCAATAAGAACAAACTGCGTAGTTCGTAATTGACTTTGTTTCATATGAAAGCCCTGAAAGCGTTGAGCGTGCTCTCCTGAGTAACTGAAGCTATCTGTGATATTGCCATTGAATCTGGTTATAAATGTTTTGCAGAAAAACATCTGCAGTCATACAAAGAATAATAGTCGAATTTTAAGCTCCTATGACAAAACGTAGTACCGATGTTCTGCGGGGGACTACTAAAATTGAGTAGTCAGTGTATTGGGGTTCCTTCACGATATAGTCCCGAGGATTTGATCAAAATGAAGATTTACGGAAAGGTCTGGAGTTCGTCAGTGGATTCTATTCTATTTCGTGGTCATCAGAAGCAGATGTCGAAGGAAAACTGCTATGGTACGCATTGTTTGCAACAAGCTGTATCCAAATCCGTGGAAAGCAGTTCTTATTAACTATTAATGAAGTTAGCCGCATATCTGACAACCACAGTCTGATCGGTACTGGTATATTTAGCAGCAATATGGAGAACAGTGGCCCAAATAGTAGACATTCTGCCTTGTACTTTACACATTTATGTTAATGTGTTTTCAATTCGTATTACGTTCGGCAAAGAATTTATCCCACTGCATTTTCATGCACCTAACTGTGAGGCTGGTAGCCAGTTCTTGACCATCTGAGAGTAGGGTCAGCACGTTGCCCTACTGTGGTAAAGAAGGAATGTGGGAGACTTATATCGTGCTATTTGATGCGTACGCTTGACCTATCTGATAGTTGGTTAAAGGTCAGCATAAAGTGTAAAATGAATAAGTGAAAATAATAAATAATGAAAACACAGGAATCAATTTCTAAGAAAGAAATTATAGCTGCAGATGAACGTGCATAATCTTAATTAGTAAAACTAGAAAACATGTCATAATTGTTATATTTAAAGGCAGAATCTTTTATGAAGTAAACTGTGGGCAGTTAAACTGTTCTAGGGATGATTTTGTTAGAACCAAAAGCAGAATTGGTTTTGCACCTTCTGGTGCACCTTCCATTCGAAATGCCTGGTTCTGAGTCTAGTGGTCTGTGGTGTGAAACGGCTGAAGCGGTTTATGAAGTGTGTTGAAGCGTTTAATAGCCTGGAATGCACTATAAAATGCTGGCCTGAAACATATTCTGGTAATAGTCTGCTAGACGACAAGCAATTACTGTGATTTATTGTGGATGCGTGTTTATTGAGTAAAATACGTTAAAATTATGATTATGTATCATGACAAATATTCTTAATACAACTAATAATAAACTAAGTTTTCTACAGTTATGACCGTGCTGCTTTGACAACCCCTCTGTGACTATCGTTTGTCAATTATGTTTCCTCTTAGGCAGCTGATGACCCATCTGCATTCGAAGAAAGGTCGTCGTGCTCTCGGAAAACTTCTTCTCGAAGGTGTTCGACTTGTTTCTGAAGCCCTGATCTGTGGATTAAATCTGAATTCCGTATACTTCTGCGAGTATTAATTGCTAACGTTATGCAAATGATTAATGAATAATTTTACTTTGCTATTTAGTCCAAAAATACTAGGCCAATTGCCGGCGAACTTCGACCGCTCCAAGTGTTTTAAAATTAGTGGCGAAAGAATGAGTGCTTGGTCCGTAATGGACACACCACCTGGAGTACTCGGTAACATGTAAAATGTCTACCTGAAATTCGTCATATAATTGTTTTATTGTCACAGGTGTTTTCGATAAACCAGACAATGACTTCGTTGCTGAACTTCAGGAACAGAAAATTCCTTTAATTTTGATATGCGACAATATAAGAGAACCTGGGAATATTGGATCGGTTATTCGATCGTTTGCCGGAATAGGTTGTGAGAAGATCCTGATGACCAAAGGTAAATACATGGAATTTCGTCATTTCATTTTAACATTTAGAACAGGGATCCAGCTATGGTTTTGTGTGTGTAGAGCAAGCATGAACAAACTGCAGTGATTTCACTTAGTCTGGTATCTATGCTGATCTTGGGCAAGTGAGACTTGAGACATTCAGACTGAGAGAAACGGCGTTGAATTCTTGAAATATTTTATTTTATTGTTGCCGTATTAAAATAATGGGTGTAGCAATGAAAAGCATGTTTGAATGAACTACGCCAACAGCATCAGTCAGATCAATTTTTAACTCTATGAGTTTAGCCTTGTGCTAAAGCCAGGCCAACTGGCAAATATGTATACGTGTGTGCCATCGTCGCATAAGATCTTCATTATGAACTGCGTGGCATAATATTTCTCTGTTTACAGGATGGCAACCAGTCAACATTGTATAGGTTTCCTGGTTATCGGAAGATTATCTTAAGATGTTCAGTATTTGGCCTGTTTATTAAGATCTAATGGGCCATTGGTGATGGTTTTTTCAGAACATGAGTTTCGTTGTTCCTATCACACATACTTGTAACACATTGCTTTTTACACATCCTCAGTAATACCAACGAATTCTTAAGATGCCACGCACATAACCTTATTGAAAGGCGGTTAGATGGGGCACTTTTGGTTTTGGCATTGTCGTCTTGTCTAAGATATCGAGAAGAATCAGGATTACAAA